TAGGCGCCTAACAAACAAACATTTGTACTCTAACCAAAGAGGGTGAAGGGTAGGCCTACCACTACAGAAATGATAAAGTACTACATAAAGACATTCATTTAGCAATTACGTATAAGAATTTCATCATGGTCTAGGTTATATTGTTTTCTGCCTTTCCTTAAGAACTACAATTAACAAACCATGTGCACTGCGCACTTACACACAATGTGATATCTGCAGTCTCAAGGCAAACAATCACGCTGAGGAATATAGCATCCACTAATATGTATACTAGTCAAGCATTCAATCAGTTCACAAATAACCATTAAGATACAGCAAATATGAAAAAGGCAATAAACTCACGTTATCACGCACAACCATAGATGTGTATCTGAATCACAGAGAAGGAGGGGCCCTCACATGTGGTTTGTATTGCTGCCAGCCAGAACAAAGGAAATGGGTGGACCTTATAAAATAGACCATTCATTAGGAGTAAGTGAGATCAGGTGAGATTGGGTGGGTTCCTTGCCATGGAAATAAGCAGAGCGTTGCTGAATAGTATGGCTCTATTCTACAGGGACTGAATCTAGAATAATGGCCATGTAATCGTTTTAGTGTATGGAGAAGGTGGGCGCAACTTTTTGGAGTGAGTTCCCTCAGCTGGGTGGATGTTCTCCCTTTCGGGTAGATGTGCCCGTCGAGGGATCTATTAGTTGGCAGTTGGTGATGAAAAGGCATGATAGGAAGAACAAGATATCATGTAGTTTACGATGTGTTTGAGTAAACTAGTGAGCTTCAAAATTAGAAATGGAAATAACTTGGTTCTGTTAGGGCTATGGAGGAACGCTGGGTGCCAGTGCCGGAGCTTCTAGCTGTAGTTGCTGGACTGGTAAGATGAGATGCTGGAGATCCTGGCTCCTGGTGCCAGAATCCCAGACTGGAGCGACCTGCAGAGATTGATGGATGTGGGCTGCGAGGGGTTTTGCATCCCGGTGCCTAATGACCCGACTAAGCTAGCCCGAAACTGTTTCCAACCACGAATTGGATGGTTCTATCTAACGAACTGACTGATGCAGTCAGATTGGTGATGACTGGGAGTGAGCGGCATCCCGGTGCCAGAGCCCTTCAATTTGAAACGATCGTTCGTTCAAAACAACTTTAGTTTAAATTGCGGTTTGTTTGGAATGACTTTGCTTTGAAACGGCTGTTCGATCGAAACGACTATCCGACTAACAGTGGCGCTGACGTCACGGCGTGCGTAATGCGTCACCTGGAAAGGAGCTTGTGTTGACGGAACTGAATGCATGGCACGCTGACATGATAGCTTGAAAAGTTTGCTGTATTGTCTGTTCTCTAAATCGGAATTGTTACATTTATAACCGTTTTCTGAAGAGTAGCTATAGTTCGTGTCTTGATTGTTCGTGAAGACTGTGTGACCCGGGACCTCGCTGGCGCGTGGAAACGCTGTGATCATCTGTTTGATGAGAGGCAGGGGATTGTTCGGGTGCAATGTTTCTGATTGTTGAGGAAAGTGGACCGTGGAAGGTGGATGGCGTTAAGGCTGGACTCACCCGCTCCCTGGCCGACTTTAGGATTGTAGAAAGCGGGGTCTCAAGCGTGGAGACGGAGGAGAGAATTCGGCTTCTGGTGCTGGGTCTGCTGACGTGAACATGGAAGATGTCTCGAGTCCGTCCGAATAATTCAGCGTCCGATGGGGATAGCGATGTGACGACACTTCTCGAAGAGGTAAGTGGATGGAAGTAGCTGGTAATAATTTGCGTTATTGGATTTTAGCGTAGCGTGCTCGACGCGATGTTGCTTGGTCTCGGTTCGTCTGCGGAATGCGAGGGCCATGCAGGATACGAGTGCGAAGGGGAGGACTTAGGGCGTGTGGGTATTTATGGAAATGCTGGCGATGACGTGCTTGACGTGTGGTCCCGCTCCTGAAACTCTGCTAATTAGCACCACATTATACAGCAGCCTAACGTGCCTATCCATGAGTAAAATATTAATATCAGATTTGCAGTAAATATATTGAAGTAATAAGCTTGATACACTATACGAATAAACACACTCACACACTATTAAAATTCAACCAATTTAATAATAATCTGGATCAAGCCACCAAGTTCTTAAAGAACTCCAGCACAGAGAGAGGAACAAAGAAATATTAACACATTATATAAACGCAGCAGTTTGGCAGGTCTGGACGCAAAATGGGCCACATCAGGTCCGGATTCTGCAGACAGAGAGAAACACACATGAGCACATCGCTCTCACACACGGCAGGTTGTTCACCAGTCACGAGCTGTGAAACAACAGCTCGGCTCTGTTGGTAAATAAAAAGGAAAAGTTACATTGCGTTCTCTGGTGGACCTGGATCAGCTGTTGGCTGTAAACACACCACAGGGCTAACGCTAACGTTTCTACGTGGCTGTGTTTTAATGTTTTAATGACCGGGTCTGTTTGTTTTGGAGAGGAGATGACCTTGGAGGTAATTCGGCTCCCGGTAGAACCCTGTCAGACCTCTGAAGTGGACCCAGAACAACTCTCATCAGCTGTTGGCTGTAAACACTAGCAAAGTTACAGTAGGGCTGTGTTAAAACTATAGCACAACATCACTCCGCAGTAATAACGTTATGCTGTATTGAATGTCACATAATTAACAAAATAGCAATATAATCTCAGTCCCGGCTGTTCTCATCTGTGACACCACGATGGTGGAACGAGCTACCACACGCCATCAGAGCAGGGGCGTCACTCTCTGACTTCAAGCTCTTGAAAACTGTATTGTCAGTTGTAGATCTGTATTTGAAGCTCTGTTGATGCTTGTATGTTGTTCCTCAAATGTAAGTCGCTTTGGATAAAAGTGTCTGCCAAATGAGTAACTGTTGCTGCAGTAGCCCATAGAAGTTTACATAGGCTACAGCTACATAGGGTTTGTATTAGCCTGTCAAGCCCAATAATTTATATTGTGATCTGTCAACACTATAATAAAGTGTGTGAAATAAGAAATGTCTTGCTTACAGACTCATTGAGTACCATTAGTAAAAGTTTTTCATCAACGCTTTGTGATAACATGATATCTTTGTAAAACCACTGGTCCCGTAATAGTAAATTTAAAAAACACCAAAACCTCAAAAATAAAGCACTTTATTCATGGCCAGTGAAATAGAAAATATATATATTTTTATTATAATGCACAAAGTAGCAAAGCCATAACATTTAGAGAAACTGTCCAGATCATGTCCCATCCGGGTCACAGTGGTCTTCATGACGCATCTTCCTGGGGATGCTTAGATTTTCCTGATGCTGCTGGCCGCTGTGGTGTCTTCAGGCCTTTGCTTTGCTTTTGCTTGACTGAAGCATGACAGACTCACCTGTGAGTCTGGTGGGTCCGGAAACACCTCAAACATGAGTTTCATCAGGTCACTCAGATGATCTGTAAAACACGACAGAGTCACTGTTACTTTCAAACCAACCTCCTGAGTGGACGAGGCCCAGTCCATCCTGAGTAACAGCCAGTGCGCTGCAGCAGCACCAACCGGAGTGCCAGCGTTTGTATTTAAAGTCAAACTTAGTTTCTCGTTTGCTTGCTGGAATTCAGAAGAGGAGGCTTTAGTAAAAATGGACTCTTGACATTTGAGATAATGACTTAATTATTGGTGGTTGGACTGTGGGTTTTGTAATGAGCACTGACTGTGTAATACACTGTAATAAACTTTGTTTGTTGTTATCAGTAGGTACCTGATGATTTATTATTTCCATTACATTTCCATGCATTACAATTATTTTTAGAATAGATTAATCTAACGATTGGTTTTTCAATTAGTCGATTAATCTAATGAATGATTTCTGCTTCAGCGTGGGGCAAAGAAAACTACTGAAAGGATTCACAGACTGTACAGACAGTCAAACATGGTCTGTAATGTTAGATTCAGCGGTGACTCACAGCAAAGCACCAACGTTACAGTGACTGCTCCTAAAATGAGTCGCTAAACAGTATACTGCCTCTTGTGGTAAAAGTGGGAAATAACGTCTACTTTATGTTACAGAAAAATACACGAAGAAACAAAAAAAGAAAACATTGTTAATAGCAGTATTCACATGCTGTAACTATTACAGCTATGTAGTTGATATGACAGACAGACTGACTCTTCCTATAACATTAACTGTGACGGAGCTGCGTTATTGTCACTAATACTAGTATTGCAGTAATGTGAAGTATATCTCTGAATGAGAATGGGTTTGTATTAGCATGGGCTTGACAGGCTAATACAAACCCTATGTAGCTGTAGCCTATGACAGACAAATGTAGTGCAGTAAAAAGTACCATATTTCCTCTTAGATGTAGTGGTGGGAAAATCTAAAGTATAGCAACCTGATTTTTTTACTTTTATATGTCAGTAAATGTACTTAGTTACTTCCTGCCTGCCTCAGAATCCTTCTGATTGGGCCACAGCAGCAGATTAATGGGCTTCTCTCTGATTCTACCTTTTTAAAAGTACAATACTTCTTAAGTCAAAGTAAAGTTGCAGATTTTAGAATGAGAATAAAAAAACTACAAAACACATAAAAAGCTCATCAGTGATATTAGACAGAGTACTTGTACCAGTTAGACTTAGATCTCATTGAGCTCCTGCAGTCATGTAATCTGCTGCAGCATCAGACTGTGTAGTTATTCAGAGCGCGTCCTCATGTGGCCACAGGCTGCAGTTTGTTATGAACTCCACTAGAGGGCGTCCTCAGGTGTCACTTATTCTCTACAAACTAGTAGCTCTGGTTTAGTGTTCATATCAGCTGCTCAAACACAACTCAAACCTTAAATAACACCACATTATCTTCCACTGCAGACTGTCTCAGATGTGATGGGGGATTGGAGCTCGTCAGCTCGAGTCACGTCTGAGAACAGCTGATGGTGTTTTTAATCACATGATTTGGTGTCATTAGAAACACCATCAGCTGTTTTTCAGCTTTGATACCAATCAAAAACAAAATAACTTAATCAGACAATGAAAACATTATTTTGCTTTTGTTTATTTAAAAGAAAAAGAGAGAAAAACAAAAGACTTTTGTCTCATTTATAAACTGCTCCTCAGTAATTTGGGCCAGTATGCAACACTTCTTATAGAAACAATGATAAGAATATAAACAGTTTAGAATTTGGCAGCCAGACATTTAAGAAACGTGTAAATGCTTCTTATTTCTGAGGACATTGTTTTCTGATGATTTCACAGTGTTGAAGGAACGAAATGCAGTTATTAGAATAAATTAGACGACATTAGATCAAATCAATCAGAGCGGTAAAATTGATGTGTTGTAGCAACGTGACACATCAAAGAAAAACATTTACAGAAACAACATCAAAGTGTACAGAGTACATCAGCAACAAATGTACATTTATTACATTAAATATAGAAAATCAAATGGTTGTTCTACTCAGTGTGATTGACACGAGAGATGATCAGAGGGGCAGAGTTTTTACCACCATCGTTTATACAAGGACTAAAGAATGGGTAGAGTTTCTCAGTGAAGCAGCAGCCAGTAAAGGAGTAGATAAGAGCTGCAGCATCAACGTCATAAAAGGAGACCAGACCCTCCTCATAATCCACAAACACCCCCACCTTCTCAGGCTGAGACTTCAGGGAGAGACTGACTGAAGGGTCAGCAAGAGCTTCATACTCATTTTCATTCCTCAAACATATCGTCCAGTAACCTTTCTGAGGCCTCACTGTGAGTACTCCCTTCCTGTTGATCGACTCTCTGGCCACTCCTAAATCCCACTTAGTCTTTCCTTTAACCTGAACCTCGTAGTAAAATCTTCCTGAGGAGAAACTCTGCTTTGCTAAGACATTAACACAATAATCAAATCTCTCTGGATTGTCTGGGAGATTATTCTTTATATCACCATGTTTAACTTGTTTTACATCATCAGACAGGATGAGGTAGGGATGTGCTGTATCAGGATCGAGTGTCACATCCACTGCATACTGCTGGACCCTCTTCAGCTCGGCCTCAAGCAGCTTCTTCATCTGTTTACTGAGCGTCTCCTCCAGCTGATTCACAGCTCTCCTCACAGTCCCCTCATATGAAGGTGGACGGACGCTGACTTCTGTCCAGTCCTTGGTGGGTGGAGCAGCGTTCAGGGACGGGAGGCTTTGGAGGAGGTGGAGGTGGTCTTCAGAGCGTGAGAGCTGCTCCACCTCAGAGCTTCTCTTCTTCAGCTCAGAGATTTCCTGTTCCAGCTCTTTGATGAAGCCTTCAGCCTGTTTCTCTGTCTCTCTCTGCTTCTCTTTGATCGTGTCGATGAGCTCGGCCTGGCTTCTCTCAACAGACTCCTTCAGAGCGCTGAAGACCTGAACACCACCTGCTATCTCTTTGTCTGCATCTTCCTTACTGAGCTCCACTGAGCGTTTGATCTCCTGAATCTTCAGTCGTCTCTTCTGGATCATCTGCTGAGTTTCAGCCTCTGTCTTCCCCAGCTCGGCCTTCTTTCCTTCATATTCTTCTTTCAGAGGAACAACATCATGTGTCTTGTGGTCTGAAACAGTGCAGAGCATGCAGACACACATCTGGTCGGTCTTACAGAACAGCTCCAGCAGTTTATCGTGCTTCGTACACATCCTGCCTTCCAGGTTCTCCACAGGGTCGATCAGCTGATGTCTTTTCAGGCGTAAAGCTGTCAGATGAGGCTCCAGGTGAGTCTCACAGTAGGAGGCCAGACACACCAGGCAGGACTTCAGGGCCTTCACTTTGGTTCCAGTGCAGACGTCACAGGGAACTTCTCCTGGTTTGGCAGCTTGTTGCTCTGAGCTGCTGCTGCTGGCTTTCTGTTGAGCTGACTGTCTGAACTGAGCAGCCATCTCAGAGATGAAAGTGTTGACCTGCAGCTCAGGTTTTGAGTAGAAAACCTTTTTACAGTTGGGACACTGATACGGGACATTAATATTCCAGTGTTCAGTGATGCAGGTTTTACAGAAGTTGTGTCCACATGGTGTGCTGACTGGATCAGTGAACACATCCAGACAGATGGAGCACAGAAACTGATCTTCAGTCAGCAGACAGCTGGCAGCAGACATATCCACACTCTGAGGACAAGAAGTGAGAAAACATGGACAGTTAAAATTAAGGCAACTGGACTTGGTTGAAGATACTTGAACTATCTTAAACTTTGAGCAAAGAGTCATTGTGTCCTTTGTGGAAACTCATTCTGTAGGTTACATGTGGTGTGAAAAGGTTGAAAAGTGAAGTTTGCTGTAAAGGGAGTGTTGTAGCCACTGAGCCATAGATACAGGATGTTCTTACATGTGTTGACCTCTTTTGTTCTGTTGTTTGACTGTTAGAGCATGCTGTAGACTCCAGTATAAGAAAAATAAAATTAAACTGTGAAAAGTCTCCAGTAACCACAACGTGCCCTTTAAAGCCTTCAGTGCTTTGCTCCAAACTAAATTCATCTTCTACCAAAAGAAAAACATCACTAATCAGGTCAAATCTGAAAGGCAGCAAAACCTCACCTGCAGAGCAGAAAGAGGTGGAGCAGCACTGGAAAAGCACGACAGTTTAAGTCTCACATGATCAAAATGAAACTAAACTTTAGTCTGAGTGTCAGCAGACCTGCAGTCGAGACAAGTCTGTTTCTCAGGAAAAGAAAAGTTAAACTGACTTAACAACACAGCAGAGTCTCTGCCAAACAAGTACAGCTGATAATATTTACTGTTTCAACACTAACACAAATCTCTGACATCATATCTTTTATCTGGTAAAACAGATGTAAAACAGTCAGATTCTGGTTTGAACTAAACTTTGACCAAATACTGAGTCAGAGCATTTTGGCTTTGTAGGGCCGTGTACTCACCAGGGTTTGGCAGAGATTCTGCTGTTTTGTTGAGAAAAACCTGATGGATTCAGTTGAAAGTTTCTTTAGAGAGAAACAGAGAGACTTGTCTCGACTGCAGCTCTGCTGTCACTTAGACACACTTTCGATTTCATTTGAGGAAATGTGACGTTGCAGCTCTCCTCTTTCACTGTTGCTCCTCCTCTCAGTGTAAAAGTAAGGTATAACTTTTGGGAACTTTGTCTTTTGTCAGTCAAACTGCTTATATTCCTTGGATTCAGGTTTTTAAAAAGTAATTTTGCTATCAGCACCAAAACTCAGGTATAATATTTGAACTACTATAAAAATGTTGAAACAATGGTCTTCAGCAGCGAGCGGCCTCCTTAATGGCAGTGAACATAACGCCACAGTGAAGTGCAACAGGATGAAATCCCAGAAGGTGCAGCGGCGGCGGGAGTCGTGCCACTCCTACCAGCCAAAGGTCAGTGCTGAGTTCTCCGACTGTCAGCAGACATTCAGACAACAACATGAACTGATGAACACATGATGAAGTGAACTGTTGATGATTTTGGACTCTGAAGCAGCGAACGACTGTTAAATGGCTTCAGAGTGAAAAGTTAAAACAACAGTGACAGCAGCCAGTTGCAGCAGCTGATCACACTCATCCTCCTGCAGGTTTATGCGTCACTAAATGAACACATTCCTCCAACCAGCTGCTCCTTTGTAGAAATGTGTTCACTAAATATTTACAGGCAGTAACCAGCGATGGAAGAAGGATTCAACTCATTTACTGAAGTAAAAGTAGCAGTACCACAGTATAAAAATACTCCATTACAGGTAAAAGTCCTGCGTCCAAGTAAAAGTACACAAAATGTACTTAAAGTATCAAAAGTAAAAGTACTGATGCAGAGTGGCTACTGTCAGTGTTTTACTATTATAGTATTGATCATTATTATTGATATATTAATATGTAAGCGGTACTTTAATGTTGTCATTGGTCGAGGTGGAGCTAGTTTGAACTACTTCATCCACAGAAAGAAGAATCACCAGCGTCTGTTGATAAAAGAGACGCTTTAATAAAACACAGACTGCAGTTTGTTCATGACGACAGGTGTGTTTGTATTAAAGTGTCATATGTGCCGCTGAGGACACGACGACCTCAGGTGACCTTTACACGTCTGTCAGCTCTTTTAGTTGTGTGGAAGGAAAAAGAGAAAGTTATACCTCCACTGGTAATTATTTTCTCTAAAAGGTCAAATTAAACTTCTTTTTCTAGTCAGATTATTTAGTGGAGCATATTGTCGTCACGGTCGACAGTCTCAGATCCAACTTTCAGTAAACCAACAAAAATGTGCTCCGTTGCACCTGTAACCACACCCACCTGTGATGTCACAGGGTCCTGGAGTACACCTGTACATCACTGCAGCAAGGTGAGAAGTTAAACCACTGAATGTCAAAAACAAGACGTTCAGGTTAACTTACTCTAAACTTCTTCTTCTTTGTTGGACATGTGTTGTACTTTCCAGCTGAGTTGTAGAGATCCAGGAAACGTGACTCCAGTAAAAAGCATCCAACAAATTGTGACGAGCGAGCCTCCTACAGCTTCATACAGTTTTACTTCAGCACATGACTGACAGCTGGCCAACAGAAGGTTAAAGGTAAATATGTTTATATAACCTCCATGTTTCTGTCATCACGTGAGGTCACAGGAGGGCGGGGCTTCAGCAGGAAATACAGTTCATGTACAGGAGCGTTCAACTGATAACTGATGTGTTTGAGGCCAACATAAAACCTGATAAACCTCTGAAGCAGCGTTCAAAGACTCACGTGACACTAAAGTCTGCAGCTCGTTCAGATTCAGCAGCTGTTTAACATCAAGTCTCTTCATTGGTCAGTCGGACCGTCCTGCTGTTAACAGACTGCAGGAACACAGATTCACAGCAGCTGCATGTTCACACTCTGCACACAGTCAGTGACGTCGCAACCTGCTGGACAACTGCGACGACAATAACGTCACATTAAAAAGACAAAGTTTCCCTACAGACTCTGTTATTGATGAGTCAATTATTCCAGCAGCTGCTTCAGAAACCTTGAAATGGAAGCAGTATCTGAGTTATTAAGACTGTGCAAACTTGTGATTTTATTTTTAATGTTTCTGCAGGTCCTGAAGTCTAAAATGACTTCAATTAAAGGCCTTAAATTTAGATAAAATCCCGTGAAAATCTGTTATTTGTGTTAAACTAAAAATAAATCTTTTCTTTTCATCTTGTGACAAATGTTTTAATTTCTAAACATAAAGACTTTGAAATATACATTTGTACTTTCTACACACTTATTTCTGGCTTACAATCAAGTGAGTCTTACTTTGATTATAATATAAGGCGTTAATGGTGTCTTTAATCGCTTCAATTTGATCTTGACTACTTCTACTTTTTAACCTTTTATTTTATTCATTTCACTGTTTTGAATGAACTTTAAATAACCCACATTCTGCTACGTAGGTGGAGGTTTGCAATCTGCATTTTGACCCCGTAGCTCAGGTACTAAAGACACAACAACTTTATTCCACATATCAGGACACGTTGTTGTATTTTATCTCTTATGTTAGGAGACTTTTCAGACAGGAACACTGTGCACTGTAACAGTACCTCTCTTATGTGTTTATAATAGTTTAGGCAGATAAAGAAAGTACTTGTTAGTATAAGTTTGATTGGTTTTATCCTTCAGGGGAGCGGATGATTAAAATAATTAAAACAAAGACAAGCCTTTCACTCTGCTGCAGAGATGGATCAGAAAACTGTAGATTTTTCCCTTGAATCAGCAGAAATCCTTCATAGAAAACTGAAATATTAATTCCCATCAGTCAGTGGATGTAGCAGCTTCCTGTTTAGTCATTATCACACAAAATGTACACAATCATCTCCACATCTTTTTACAGCATCAAGGTGTTTGTATAGAAGAAAACCAAACTCAGCAGAGCTCAAACTGACAGTTGCTGTGGTGTTTAAGACATGAACAGTGAAACATTTGGCTGCAGAAAAGGTACCATTACTTTTATTTTAAACTAACAGAAACAACTTAATATTCCAAAAATCATATGAAGTATGATAATCAGTAGAGCAGTCATGTCAGCGGGTATGCATGCTTGAAAGAATAGTGAGTGAAGTGTTGTATGGTGAAAGAAACAAAATAACGAGGAGCGTGGAGTATAGGGAACAGGGTATCCCTCCTCTCTAGCCCCCAGTGCAGAACAAAAGACGTGCTCTTATAGTGGAGAACACCGGGCCCAGGTGGTTCCAACAACAGATGATTTTAACCACGCCTCCTGACATCTGCAACACAGGACACAAAGAGACAGACATCCCAGCAGCCGAAAGATGGGGATGTCACAATGGTGCAGAACCCTGGTGGCTCTCTGGAGGAACACTTCTGACTGAAAAATTCTCTCAAAGTGGTGATTAATAAACTTACTTGATTACTTCATTTGGGTCCTAATATAAGAGCAGGAATTATCATTTCATTTGCCCTCTTCTTTCTCTTTTTTTAAACAGATAAAACCCAAATGTCTCGGTCCAAAATTAAAATGAAATCCGAGAGTGTTGAGGGGACAAACTGGATGAAACTGAGACCTTGCTGCTGGTCATTTATATTATAAAAATCCCCCCTCACACCTCCCTGGCTCTGTGAAACTCTGTGAGTCAGCGTTGACTTGTTTTTTTGCAGCTGGATGTAAAGTTTGCTTCTCTTCAGAGTTTTCGGACTCTACACGGCCCGCTGGTTGTCCTGAGCCGGGCTCGTGTCCTCGGCCTCCTCCTCTCTCCTGGTTCCAGTCTCGTGGCCCTGAGGCAGACTCGTGTCCTCCTCGAAGCTCCCCGTCCCCTCCATAAAGTTCTCGTACGTCGACTTCTCGTCAAACGGCCCAGCAGCTTCAACATGTCCACCTCCAGGAGACACTTCCCCACCTCAGGAAAAAATCTGGGATAAATACTTTACTGCTACTTCACCAGCAGAAGGGAGAAAAGGCTATTATATTTTAATGTATAAATCATTTCTCAGTCTTGGTAGAAGACTATTTTCATCACGACTCTCTTAAAGAGGTCATATTCTGCCTTTTGCTCTTTCCTTTATTGTGTTTTAAATATTTTGTGCATGCACTAGGTTTGCAAAGTGAAAAAGTCCACCCTGAAGGGAGTAACCATCTCCCACAGAAAACAGCTGGATTGTAGTTCAGCCTTTACTCCTGTAACATATCTGCGTCACCAACATGCATCATAATGCTCACCTAGCAGCTAGTGTGGCACGCCCTCGAAAATGAAACCATGTAAACCTGTTCTGGTACAACCCCTAAATAACACTCTGAACCTGAAAATGAGCAGAATATGATGAAGACAACTGTCGTGGCTAAATACTAAAATAAGATTGTTTAAATGTCCTTGAACAGCTGATATTACTGAAACGTGACTCGATCGGTTTCTCATCTGCAGTGGTTACTTCCAACAATCTTTCATACTAAAAACTCAGTTTAACTGTTTTAATAGTTTTTAGACTAACTGCCTTTATCAGATCAGCAGACCTCCATCCAACTAATCAGGCAAGGCAGGAGGGTTGGAATTGTTCATGAATCAATATCCTCTCCTTCTTCTCTGGAACTTTTCTTCTTTGAATTTCTTTGTGTAACAAGATGGAAAAAAAACTAAATAACTTAATCAGACACAATAAAACTTTTTTTTGCTTTTGTTTATTTAAAAAGAAAAAGAGAAAAACAAAAGACTTTTGTCTTATTTATAATGGCTCTTCAGTAATTTGTGCCAGTATGCAACACTTCTTATAGAAACAATGATCAGACAATGAAATGTGACACATCACAGAAAAACATTTACAGACAAAAAAGGAGTAAAAAGACCTAGATCAGAATCTGAAAAAGCAGCAGCGTATCAGAAACAACTATACATTTATTACATTTATTCTTTTGGATTATTTCATATTCATAAGTTATATAAATTTTCCTTTATGTTTTTCACTTGGTACCTGTGTGTAAGTATGTTTGATGGAACACAGGATTTAGGACCCTGGAGACGTTTATTTTGTCTTTTTTTGTCAAATAAAACATCGGATATTTTTTCTTCTTACATCTGCCTCCTTGCCTCACTGGATTATACAATTTTGCCCTCTTTGGGAAGCAAAGTCAGAA